TAATCCCAATACTCTGGAGGCTGAGGCAGGAGGATTGTTGCAAGTTCAAGACCAGCCTGGGCTACAAAGTGAGCTCAAGGCCAGCCTGAACTGCATAGTGAGACCCTGTCTCAAAAAAACCAAAAAAAAAAAAAAAAAAAAAAAATCAAACAATCTCACTACTTCACTAAATTGTCAACGCTAGAACTTATCACCCTCCCGTCTCAGCCTCCCAGTATGCTAGGATTACAGGTATGTACCACCATGGTTGGCTAGTTCACACTATTTGACCATCTTGTCTTTCACAGCAAAATGTGAATTGCTTATTCCACTACTATATAACCCATATTTTAACAGCCCAACAGGTTGATCCAACTTTGATTGCTCTATAGTATTCCATAGTATAGATGTACCTTAGTTTATTTTACCACTCACCAATTAAAAGATATCTAGGTTGTTCCCAAATTGAAGCTAGTATGAGTAAAACTGCTATGGATGTTGGTGTATGGGTTTTTGAGTACCTGAGAGTGCTTTTGCTGGGCCAGATGGATGTGGTATTTTTAGAAGACACTGCCAAACTATTTTGTAGACTTGACCATTTTACATTTCCATAGCAGTCTATCAAAGATCCGTACTCATCCACACTTAGTATTATCAGGATTTGTGTTTTAGCCATTCTAATAAGTGGGTGGTAGTATCACAGCATGGTTTCAATGTGCATTTCCCTAGTGGTTAACGATAAGGACATTGACTTCATTTTTGCATTATTGGGGATTGAACCCAGGACCTTCTCACCAAGCTACATCCCCAGTCCTTTTTTTTGTTTTTTTTTTTCCAGTACCGGGAATCGAATTCACAACCTTGTGCTTGCCAGGCAGGCTCTGTGCCACTGAGCTAAATCCCCAACCCCCTATTTTTTTCTTTTGAGACAGGATCTAAATCACTAAGTTGCTCAGGATGCACTTGAATTTGGAGGTCCCTCAGCCTCCAAGTGCTGGGATTATAGTATATGCTATGATACCTGGTTGAATGTTTTGTGATGTGATTATTCATCATCTTTATACCCTTTTATACTAAAATGCCCAAGATATTTTGCCTATTTTGTAATCATTTTCTTTCTTATCTTGTCTTTTTGAGAGAGGGTGTTGCTATGCAGTTCAGGCTGGCCTTGAGCTCACTTTGTAGCCCAGGCTGGTCTCGAACTCACAATGATCCTCCTGCCTCAGCCTCCTGAGTGCTGGGATTACAGGCGTGCACCACCATGCCTGGCTTCTTTTTTTTTTTTTTTTTTTTTTTTTTTGGAAACAAGGTCTCACTATGTATTCCAGGCTGGCCTTGAACTCACTATGTAGCCTAGGCTGGCTGCAAACTCAGTGATCCTGCCTCAGCCCCCACTCCAAGTGTTGGGATTACAGGCATGTGCCACCATGCCCAGCCTGTTTTCTAGCTCTTGAGTTTAGAGACTTCTTTATATATTCTGGATACAAGTCTGTTGTTGGCTGTATGATTTGGAGTTATGTTCTCCCACTCTGTAGCTTCTGTCCTTAGCAAAACATTTGAAACTTTTAAAAATATTAGTACAGATTTACAGTACAGAATGATTACGTTCATCAAGGGTTGAAATTTTCATGTGATTTTTTTTTTTTTTGAGATAGTCTTATTATGTAGTGTAGGCTGGCTTTGAACTCATAGAGATCTTCTTGCCTCAGCCTCCGGAGTGCTGGGATTACAGACATGTACCACCACCACACCTGGCTGTGGATTGAAATTTTGATGAAGTACCACTTAGTTTTTTTTTTCTTTTATGGATTGTGCCTTTGGAACTACATCTAAGAACTCTGCCTGATCCTGCCTCATAAGAGTCCCTGCTACATTTGCTACGTTTTTTTTTGGGGGGGGGAGACGGGCCTGAGAATCAAACTCAGGACCTTGTACTTGCCAGGCAGGCGCTTGTGCCACTGAGCTATATCCCCAGCCCTCCTTACTATGTTTGGCTCTTGAGCTATATCCCCAGCCCTCCCCACTATGTATGTAGGTTTTGTTGTTATTGTTGTTATGGTTTTTTGTTGTTTTTGAGACAAGGTCAGTGTCTTGGTTACTCTTCTCTTGTTGCTGGGACAAAATACTTGATGCCCAAAATTACGGAAGGAAAGGTTTATTTTGTTTACAGTTTGTGGAGGTTTCAGTCCATACTTGGCAGGTTACAAGGCAGAGTGGCACATGGCAGAGGGCTACAGCTCACCGCAGCAGAACACAGCCAAAGCAACAAGCACTAAAGGGAGGAATGGCTGCAAGCAGCCTCTTCCTCTCCCTTACATATGCAAACTATCCACCCCAGGGCGGGTGTAGCGGTCACACCCAAAATCAATCAAACTCTAAAAGCCTGCCCCATCACCACATGAGGTTTTACAGGACACCCAGACACAAACCATAACAGTCAGACTGGGGATTTAGCTCAGCAGTACAGTGCCTGCCTGGCAAGTGTGAGGTCGCGAGCTCAATTCCTGATACACAGAAACAAAAAAAAAGAGACAGCCTGGTACACAAAAACAAAAAAAGAGACAAAGTCTTGGTATGTAGTCCAGGTTGGCCTTAAACTTACTGTATAGCCCAGGTTGGTCTCAAACTTTCTGAGATCCCCGTGCCTCAGCCTCCCAAGCACCAAGATTGCAGGCATGTACCATGATACCTGGCTCACCTAAACATTTTATAGTCAGATTTTATATTTTGATTTACCACCCATTTTGCATTACTTAAGTTCATTTCTTTGCCTACTGTCCAATTTCAGCACGACTTGCTGAAAAGGTCATCTTTTCCCCACTCAGAACTGCTTTTATACCCTTGTCAAAAAACAGGGGCTGGGGATTTAGCTCAGCGGCACAGCGCCTGCCTGGCAAGCTCAAGGTCGTGAGTTCGGTTCCTGGTACGGGGAATGGTGGCACACACATATAATCCCAGCACCTGGGAGGCTGAGGCAGGAGGATCTTTTTGAGTTGAAGATCAGCCTAGGCTACAAAGTGAGTTCAAGGCCATCCTGAATTGCATTGCAAGACCCTGTTTCAAAAAGACAAAACAAAAAGACAGACAGGGGACTGGGGATTTAGCTCAGCAGCACAGGGCCTGCCTGGCAAGCGCAAGGTTGTGAGATAGATTCCCGTACCGGAAAAACAAAACAAAAAAAAAAAAGACACACACACACACACACAAATTCACTTTCATTGCGGATTTGCTGGTCTTTCCATACTGTTCTTTTCAATTTTGGGTCTATCACTCAGCCAATACAACACTTTCTTGATTACTGCATTACTTTGTTTTGTTTTTTGTTCTGAGACACAGTCTGGCCTGTAGTCCAGGCTGGCCTTGAACTGTGTAGCTAGACTGGTCTGAAACTCGTGACAACCTTCCTGCCTCAGCCTCCCTAGTGCTGGGATTACATTCATGCACCACCACACCTGGCTCCCTTTCCATCTAAATTTTAGAATACACTTATGTACATAAAAGTTCTTGCCAAGATTTTCATAGGAATTATATTAAACGTAGGGCTGGGGATTTAGCTCAGCGGCCAAGTGCCTGCCTGGCAAGCACAGGGTGGTGAGTTCGATTCCTGGTACTGGAAGAAAAACGAAAAAAAAACCCGAAAAAACAAAAAAAGCGGAATTACATTAAACCTATAAATCAATTTGGAGAGAACTGATCTCTTTCCTGTGTTCAATTTTCCATTTCAATTTATGGCTAACGAGGCCGGGCATGATGGCACACGCCTGTAATCCCAGCACTCGGCAGGCTGAAGCAGGAGGATCGTCATGAGCTCGAGACCAGCCTGGGCTACAAAGTAAGCTCAAGGCCAGCCTGAACTGCATAGCGAGACCCTGTTTCAAAAAGACAAAAAAAAAAAAACAAAAAAAAAAAAAACCAAACAAACAAAAACAAAACAACTTACGGCTAACAAAAAGAATTTGGAGCAGATGAAGAAAACTCCAGGATTTATTTGGTACTGCGAGCAAAATCCTTTTTTTTTTTTTTTTTTTTGGTCTTTTTGAGACAAGGTCTCGCTATGCAGTTTAGGCTTGAGCTTACTTTGTAGCCCAGGCCGGTCTCGAACTCACAACGATCCTCCTGCCTCAGCCTCCCCGCCCCCCCCCGCAGTGAGGCTGCGTCCTAGGAAGCTGGAGGATGGTTTAGGGGTCAGAAATATGCCAACTCACATGTTCAGGCTTACGGTTTGCAGGGTTACACTGGCTTTCATAACTCAACGGCAATGCAGGAATTCGTATGCCCATATGAGTGACGGGGAAGCCAAAGACACAAGCTCTGACTCTTTCCAAAAGGAACTGGCTAGAAGCTAGACAGGATGCCGGGTGTGGTGACGCACACCTGTAATCAGTCCTAGCACTCTTGGAGGCTGAGGCAGGAAGATTCCAAATTCGAGCAAGGCTTTGGCAATTTAGCCAGGCCCTATCTCAAAAGAAAAGTAGTGTGGGGATGCCATTCAGTGTCGGCCGAAAACCCGGTCCCACTAGCCCTGGGGAGCCAGGAAGTCCGCCTGCCCAGTAGGGGGCGGCAAGCTCCTGCTCCCGGATCATGGGCCACCGACCTGGACGCGGGCCGTGCGACCCCGCGCAGGGGGAGACAGATCCCCGTGAACTGCGGCCAAGCTCCAGGGACGCCAGAGACGTCGGACGAGAGGTCCGCTCGACCCACGCCTCTGCTGACCAGGGAACTCGAAGGACGTGCAGCCCAGCTTGCTTTCAAGTCCTTTCTACACCACGGACTCCTGAACTCGCTCCATTCCCTGCCCACACCCCCATTCCCTATCCTCTGCACCCCTAGAATAGTTTCCAGCAAGGCCTCTGCGAATCCAAACCCAGCCGTGGCGAATTCCGACCCGCCAAGGAAGCTCACCCTACCCCCTCGTAGCTCCGCCCCCTGACGCCTTGCCTCCCCGCCCCCGCGTACACGTATGGATCTCGTCACTTTGGGAAGTCTCGCGGTGCCAAACTCCCCGAGAGGTCGCGCGAGTGCTCAGAAAAGGGGCGGGGAGAACGGGTGCCGGGAAGGCGATTCGGGGCGGGGAACGGGGGGCGCGTGCGCACTCCGCAGCTCTTCCTGGCGCTTCCATCTGGCGTTGTGGTTGAGCTCCGCTTGTCTTCTCTCTTCCCTTCTCTGCGATCTTACGAGTAGCAGGCAGCGGTCCCCAGTTGGGCCGGTCGGCGAGCTCTTGAGGGTGTGGCAAGGAACGGGCCGCGTACGCTTGGAGGACGCTGTGGAGCGGAAAGGGTAGGCGCTGAAGAGCGGGGAAGCGGGCGGTGGTGGGGCGGGAGGTTGGGGCGACACGACGAATGAATGAGAACCGAGAAGCTGGAAGGGGAGAGGCATCGGTCACGCCCCCTCAGGGTGTCCCCTTTATAGAAGTAGGGTAGGAAAGGATGCTAAGTTGTTTGTGATCTCTCCGATCTCGTAGCAGCTCCCGCACCATGGCTGAAAACCGAGAGCCCCGCGGGGCCGTCGAGGCTGAACTGGACCCGGTGGAGTACACCCTTCGGAAACGCCTTCCCCACCGCCTGCCCCGGAGGCCCAATGACATTTACGTCAACATGAAGACTGACTTTAAGGCCCAGCTGGCCCGCTGCCAGAAGCTGCTGGACGGAGGGGCGCGGGGTCAGAACGCATGCACTGAGATCTACATTCACGGGTTGGGCCTGGCCATCAACCGTGCCATCAACATCGCCCTGCAGCTGCAGGCGGGCAGCTTCGGGTCTTTGCAGGTGGCTGCCAATACCTCCACTGTGGAGCTTGTGGATGAGTTGGAACCAGAGACGGATACACGGGAGCCACTAACCCGAACGCGAAACAACTCCGCCATCCACATCCGGGTCTTCAGGGTCACACCCAAGTAATTGAAATGAAGCCCCCCCACCAGCACACCCAGCTAGGTCCCAGCGTGGCTGTCTTGACTCTTGTGCTAAGTACTGTCACGGACCTCCTGTGAGAGCCATGTAAGAAGCCCATTTCCTCAGCCCGAAGGACAGAATTGAGGGTGGGAAGGTAATTTCTCTTACTGGGCCCAAGCAGTGGATTTTCCGTGTCCTGGACAATAAAAAGTATTTAGTTGTGTTAGTGCCCTGCCACTCGCTGGTGCTGCCTCTTTCCTGTGTAATTCTGTGTTATCTGAGCAGGGAGAGTAGGAAACCTTTGGAAGTATTACGTCCTGGGAAGTTCCTGTTTCTAGCCTTCACAGAATCCATGAATTATATTGCAGCTAGTGTAATAAAACAAGCTGGGTTTTTTGCTTGATTTTTCCAGAACTAGGAGTTGAACCCAGGGCCTTGGTGCTGAAGTACATCCCCAAGCCGTTTTATTTTATTGTAGATACAGGGTCTTACTAAGTCGCTGAGTTACCCATGCAGGTCTGAAACTTGAAATGCTTCTGCCTCGGCCTCCCACGGTATGGAGATTACAGGCATGCACTACCATGCCCAGCAGAAGAAACGGTTTAATATAGCAGAGAAGCCGGCCAATTCCAATGTTTACCTAAAAATTTGTCATGGTCTCAGGAGGACTGGGCGGGTAGTGTCCATTGCCTTGCTGGGATGCAGCTGGGATGATTGTATGCACAGGACTCATTAGGCTTCTCTCTGGTGATAGTTCCGAGGCACTGGAAAAGTGAAGGTTCAAAGAAGATGTGAACTGAGACTCTGGGGTCACCTTAATGTCTGGTTCCATGGGAGGAAATGAGGGTTTTTTGTTTGTCTTTGTGAGACAGGGTTTTGCTATGTAGTTCGGGCTGGCCTTGAACTCTATGCAGCCCAGGCTGTCCTTGAGCTTGCAGAGATCCTCCTGCCTCAGCCTCCCAAATGCTGAGGAGATGACTTTTGATTTTAATTCCTGGTTCTGCAGAGTCCAAATGGCTCCCAGGCAGCTGCCAAGCAGAACCTTTGCTGCCCTCCTCTTGGGCTATAACAGTGGGATAAAGACATCTCCCCCAGAATAATTAATTATGGGGGACAGCTAGTCCATACTTTGCTGTTTAGATATTTATAGGATACCCACATTTTTCACATCAAACCAGAGTCCTTTCAAGTATTCTTTGTCAAAAGGAGATAGTGACTCGTTTGTGGGTCATCAGATCAGTATATTGTGTCACTGTTTTATTTTTAAAAAATAAGTAAAAGTAATTGTCATTTATCTTTTTGTCTTTTTGAGACAGGGTCTCGCTATGCAGTTCAGGCTGGCCTTGAGCTCAGTTTGTAGCCCAGGCTGGTCTCGAACTCGCAACGATCCTCCTGCCTCAGCCTCCCGAGTGCTGGGATTACAGGCGTGCGCCACCAGGCCTGGCAGTAATTGTCATTTGAATGGTAATGTTTTATGGAAGCTTTTTTAGGCAGATAGGTGTATAAAGTCAGTGCCCTATGTCCCCAAGCCACACATCTTCAGATGTAGTTGAAAATCCTAAGAACAATTCTTTATTGAACACAGACGTATTTCCTTATCGTTATTCCCTGAACAGTATGGTATATTAGCTATTTACATTGTGTTAGTAATTCACAGATGGTTTACTGTACAGGGGAGTGTGGGAGTTTGGGTGGGTTCTATGCAAATACATTTTATTTAATGGTAGTCAGCATCCTTGGATTGGTGTTCTCACGGTCATCGTGGAACTGATCCTTGACTACCAGGGGACAACTGTGCACGTGTATACCAGTTAGGATGTGAATTGTGACTTTTACTGTTGTTTGAGGTCACAAGAGTCTGAAACCCTTGCTGGGTGTGGTGGTGTACACCTATAATCACAGCACTTGGGAGGCTGAGGCAAGAGGAAGCAGGAGATTCAAGGCCAGCCTGAACTACATAGCAAGACTGTCTCTCAAACAAACAACAACAAAAAAGGTGGGCATGGCAGTGCACTTGGGAAGCTGAGACAAGAGGACTGCATGAGTTTGCAGATAGCCTGGACTAAGTAGTCAGTTGAAGGCCAGCTTGAACTACACAGCAAGACCATGTCTCGGGGCTAGGGATTTAGCTCGGGCACAGCGCCTGCCTGGCAAGCGCAAGGTCGTGAGTTCGATTGCCGGTACTGGAAAAAAAAACAAAAAAAAGACCATGTCTCAAAAAACCAAAGATAAAATGAAACAGCAACAATAGCAGAAAAGAGCTTGAAAGCCTCTGATCTTAAGTGTTAGCAATGATATTTTACTCTAGTTATAAAGGTAATTTGATTTAAATCTGAAACTAAGAGCTCCTAATTTACCAAAATCCCTTCCTTTGGTAGGGAGGGATTACTCCTTTGTGTAAGGAGCTCAACATCTAATTGGAAAGGTTAACAAATTTTTCTGAATAAGATATGGAAGAAGGGCCGGAGATATAGCTCAGTGGCATACTGGCTGCTTGGCAAGCACAAGATCATGAGTTTGATTCCCGGTATGAAAAAAAAAAAAAAAGCTGTGGAAGAAATAACAGCTGTGGTACGGAAATGGGGACATGTAAAGGCTTACCTTGCTGCTGGCCTTCCAAAAGTCTTCACCTTTGATCTGGGTATTGAAGGATGAATAGGAGTTTGCTGGGCAGACAACAGGGAAAAAGGCAATCTGGCAGACAGGTTAAGGAGAGATTCACAAATACCTCAGGGTGTGTTCAGGGACTGGAAGGACACAAGGTGGCTAGAAAACAGGAGGTACTAGGGAGGTAAGGGAGACAAGGTTGCTAACATTTCCCTCCGGCCACCTCCTCCATACGCCTTAACTGCAATCCCTCAGTAGCGGGGTAGGGAGGCAGGAAGCTGGCCGGCCTGTGTGTCTCGAGGCACGTATGTGTTCCGCCTCCGTGCTCACAGCCTGGGCCCCGCCGCGGTGACCGGCAGCCCTTTGCGCTTGGTTTGTTTTGACAGCTCCCACTCCAGCCTGTGTGTTTGTTGTTTCTGCTCCGTATTTCCTTGCTGCTCGCCAGTAGGCTTCCCTCCTTGCCATTTGCACCGACAACCTTAATGTCCCCACCTCGGGAGGAGGGTCGCAGTCACCGAGAGGTGGTAGCAGGCAGCCGTGCGAGCGAGTGAGGCTCCTATGCCTGACAGGGTCCCTGCGGGGAACCTCATCTCCCCCTAGGGTCCTCAGCAGGGACACAGGCCCCAGCCTCTGTTCCCGTCCTGCTAGGGCTCTTCGGTTGACTTCCAACTAAGCTTAGCCACAGGGGAGAGGATGGAGACAGGTGTGCCCAACCACAGGGCATCTTCTGCCCTCCTCAACAGGCAGAGCCCACCAAGAAGGGGTTAAGGGGGAGTGACCTTGTACCTCCAAAACAAGTCCCTAGGGGCCAGATTCAAATCCAGATGCTCATTATCCATAGCACTTACTGAGCATCTGCCATTTGGAAGGATCAGTGTTAGGCACCAGGTCTGCCAGGAAGGGTATAAACTGCTGGTCTTGCCAGGTGTGGTGACCGTGAGAACACCAATCCAAGGATGCTGACTACCATTAAATAAAATGTATTTGCATAGAACCCACCCAAACTCCCACACTCCCCTGTATACCTATAATCCCAGCATTTGGGAGGCTGAGGCAGGAGGATTGCTGCAAGTTCAGAGGCCAGCCTGGGTTACATAGTGAGTTCAAAGCCAGCCTGAACTACACAGAGAGACCCTGTCTCAAAAGTAAAATAAAAAATAAACTTCTGGTCTTATAATGTCTGATGGGAAACAAGACAGATTTTCTTTTTTGAGATACAGTTTTTCTATGTAGTTCCTCCTGGGCCTTAAACTCGCTATGTAGTCCAGGCTAGCCTCAAATTCATTCTTTTTTTTTTTGTTTGTTTTTGTTTTTGTTTTTCTCCGGTACCGGGAACCGAACTCAC